GGACAGACTATAATTTCAGAGCTGGCCTAAATGATGAAATACAATTAAGGCTTTCATGCTACCTCTCTTCTCTCTATGAAGACTTAAAATATTTTACAAACTGTCTTCGGAACTAAAATATCTTTTGGCCATTTCTTGAATACCCAGATAGGCCTAATCTTTCTGTAGGACTTACTAATGTTAGTATTTAAACACCATGAATTTCCAGACCTCATGTTCTGTTACCAATAGGTATAATTTCTTCATGTGAAAAAAATTGTTATAATTGCCTAGGCAAAATGATATTTAATAAAATGGCTTAAATAATTCATGAATATTCTCATTATAATATCCAGGAAATATACTACAAGGGCAAAAAAGCATACAAGAAAAATGATCTTATAACTTTGATATTTTCCATTAGCAGGTTCTTTACTGTTGTGAAAAAATGTTAACAACCTCAATATCCAGTGTTAGATGACTGAATTAAGTGAAATTATAATCCTAGGATAGAATATATGCAAGCATGAACAAGTGTTTGGAAGCCTATGCGATTCAATGAAAGTGCACTTATTATGTGCAGTTGGGCTAGTAGTTCAAGTTAGGAATTCTAATGCACCCATGACCACAATTGCATTTTCTAAACAGTTAAAGTACACATGTATTAGCATGCATATTTCAGTATAGAAAAATCTCTAGCAAGCTTACTTTGAAAGGTTTGTTTGACTATTTTGCATAATTTTTTATTTTTTATCTTTCTATCAAACTCCCTAAAAACAATACAATTCAGTTTCCTACAATGAACATTAATTATTCTCCCAGTAAGAAAAATTTAAGTGTTCATAAATATCTTGTCTGACCTAGATGAACTTTCTAAGTGTCTACCAGGTACCAAATACATTTAATAAAATGCTTCCTCCATTCACAGATTATTGCAATACACATTTTGATATGATTCTTCTGTTTTATATTCTCCTCTTATTGTTTTGATATGACATTATGCTCTAAGATGGCCTCACACAGTCTCATAACATAAGTACTCTCTGTTTTCTGATACTCCCCCAAGAAATGCCCCTAGTTCAGTGGTCTTCACTGACCCCTCAGAAGGTTTTGGTATTAATCAAGGGATAGAGCACCTGACTAACAAGTGTGAGGCTCTGAGTTCAAATCCCAGTATGGCAAATAAATAAAAAGCCCACCCTCAGGTCTGTACCTCTTCCGGAATTCCTTTTTATTTTTGGCACTATTGGGGTTTAACTCAGTTCTTAGCCCTTGGTAAGCAGGCACTCTACCATTTGATCCATGACTTCAGACCCAAAAGTCCTTTTTAAATTTGATGACACTGTTATCCCAACAAACATTCTTAATATTGTTGTCTCTCTCTCCCTCTCTCTCTTTCTCTCATTGCCAATCTGTCAACAATTCCTGATCACGCCACATCCAACACTTATCAGAATCTATCCACTTCTCACATTGTCCACTCTGGCTATTCTATTACCATTATCTTCTACCTGTGCTACTTTCTTCTCTTCTTTCTCCACAGGGTCCATTTTCCATAATGAAATTCAGTTATCTTTCTAGGGCATACATTAAGTCAAACCCTGCCTATCATGTTTAAATGGTTTCTTATTCTGCATAGCATAAAATATAAATGTTTTACTACAGTCTACTACATTCCCCCAAAATATGTCTCTCGTGTCACTCACTCTGTTGTAGCTACATTGCTTTTTCTTCTCTGAATACAATAAATTTCCTCACACTACAGTGCCTTTGTATTGATTATTCTTTTTGTTCCAAAGATAGTGCTAGCAGATTTTCATGTAACTCCTTTCTTTTGAGTGGTATCCAACAGCACATTCTTCATAAGTATTTTTCTCTCTGACATACATTCTGTTTTGTTTTCTGTATAATTTGCCACCTAAACTTATTGTACATGTTCATTTTTTTCTTAAAATGTAAATCCTATAAGAGCAGAGTTGCATCTACTTATTTTTTACCACTGTGCATAACTAATTCCTTACTAAGAATTAAATAGTATTTGTTGAATGTTGTTAAGTAACTATTAAGACATGTAAAAACTGGCCTTTTCAAGGTAAAGTCTCTACCCACTTTCTTAATGATTAAGTCCAGAAACTAGTTGTTTAGAAAATGACATTAAATCAACAGCAGGACACATACACAGGCAATTTTGCTAATATTTTTACTAGTAAATAAATGTGAATGGATTATTCCCATAGTCTTGTATATGCACAAAAAGAGCAAAGGTAGCATTTATTTATTTCCTTCATGAAGGCCAGCATTTTTCATAATACACAGTTAAGAAATATACTCAACATTCATTATAATAAAAATAAATTTATCCACCACTAAATGACTATCTAAATCCATGGATTGAATTTTGAAATATATTCCTATGTCTACATCCTCCTTTGTCCCATACTATCCCCAAAGTATTCATTTTCTCACTAATGGAAGACAATTTTCTGAACCTTTTTCATAGCTGACACTGTGGATGTCCTATTAACTAGCCATTGCTACCACACAATGCACCAGCCACCCTGGTCAGGGCACACACACATTATCAGCAGTCAGAAGTCCAGCAAAATCAAAATTTCCTCTTCATCTCCAGAAGAGTCGATTTATGAAAGAGTATATTCTAAGGCATTAAAGGTTAATATTTTAGTGACACCTATTCAAGATACAACTTTCTGAAAGCCTCTACAAAATCTAATTTTCAAATCATATCATCCCAGTAGACTTTAAAAACATAGACCTCAAAAGTGGTATTATAGTTGATATTCCTGTGTAACCTTACAATAAAACTTGAGCATGAACAATTGGAGATCTGCACACTCATTAAGATGAAAGAAATGGAATTCAACTTAATGCAGGAGCTAAAAAGAAAATCAGAATTATTTCCCTATGCTGTCTTGAAAAGACTCTGGCTTTGAAACCTATGAAACAGTAAGGGAGCCATGTGAAACTGAGTGTACAACACATCAGTGAGCCTTTCCCCAAGGGACTTTTATAAACCTTTATATTTTTTTATATATCCTTTGTGAATATGTTTTTATGTCTGCACACTTTTTCTTAGACAACAACTCCATCCTCACTATGTATAACAGTTTTCATCATATATATGATATATATATGGAGTATATATGAACATATATGAGATGTATTTATGAAATATATATATGATTTGAACAAATGATCACTTCACATGTATATTTACATATTTATAAACTATACATATGTGTAATCACAGTAATATGGTACATATTTTATATGCCTTCCCACAATAAAAAAATTGGAAAAAATGAAATAGAATAGATATGTTTGACTTTTTCCTGCAGTAAGGTGATCTTAATACTTAACCCACCTTGATGGAAGCCACAAAGATCTTGCTATATCTCAATAAAAGGATCTGATTGATAGCAGAATTGCTGGAATTGAGCACTATGGTTTCAAACAATTTTACATATCATGTCATATTCTAGTGCATGGTGCTACAAGATACCACCTAAACCAATGTAATCATTCCTTCAGCTGCAGCAAGTAGTACTGGTTTCCCAGACTCATAGCTGAATTGAAATAAGGCCACCCCTACTCCAGTAACAATATCCAATGACTGGTCAGCTCATGGGGTTAAAAATGCATCTACTGGCTTCTTATAGAGCAACCATAGGGCCCTTCCTAGCCCAAGCTCTGCTTGGTTTCAGATGAGGCTTTCATTACAACTATAGTACAGTTCTGTTCCTTCCTCTACTTCTCCTATTTTCCTATTGATTGCAAGAGCATAAGGCCACAAATTCTCATTTCACAATCTTTTTGTTCTGGGGAATTTCATCTAAGGTACGTGTATATCAGCATATCCAGAAATTTATTTGGCTTATTTATGTGTTCCTAGCACATTGTTTATTGAATAACTGAAGCTCAAGCACTAAAATAATATCCCACATCTTTTGGAGCCTCATTAGTCTCTCACTGACTCTAAATTAATTTCACTTGTAAGTATTCATTGTTTTTGTTACTGTGGGGAAGAAAAATTCCAATTAAAATGAAATTTGACCAGAAGAGTGATCTCTCCTCTTCTGAGTACCTGAGTGGTTCTCATTGGTAGAGTGAACATCATTGCTTCTGAGGACAACAGACTTTCTCCATGTGACCTCAGCCATTTAACATAATATTTGGTTCTAATTAATAAACTATTTCAATGAAATATTCTTCTGATAGCTATTTACATGCTTCATATGTTGTGTATTAAAACAGCAGAACTACTCACTGAATTCAGTATATTGTTAGAGATGAAACAGAGTGTTTTGTAAATGCAAATTAGGTGCATTATAACATATATAGAGCAATAGAGGAAATTAACACTAGAAATGCAAATTATTTATTTATGACAATGTTATCATGAGTATAGCAAAAACTTTCAAACCAAGGTCCAGAGACTTACCTGGAAAATAACTCTGACAAATTTTATGCTCTGATTTGTTTTTCTTTAACAGTCATAGTAGGTCCTCTGACTGGTGCACATTCATTGGAGATGAAATGCATTTTGAGATTCTCATTGAAAGATACAGATTGTCCACTCATTAAAATAGCATTGCACAGCTGGGCGCAAGTGGCTCACATCTGTAATCCCAGCTACTCAGGAGGCAAAGATGAGTAGGATCACAGTTCAAAGCCAGCCAGGGGAAATAATTTCATGACACCCTATCTCAAAACATCATTCACAAAAATAGGACTGGTGGAGTGGCTCAACGTGAAGGCTCTGAGTTCAAGCCCCAGGTATTGCAAAATAAATAAATAAATAAAATTTTAAAATAGACTTGCACAATCACTTTTTATCACAAGTACTCAATTAAGTCTTTCTAAAACCCTAGACAAAAATATGTTATTCCAATACTCAGTTTTATTTAGAATTATTTGATATTATTTATAAAGTTATAAAATACAACAGAAGGTACTTCTTGTTTACAATTGAGTTTACCAATAAATATAGAGTCAGCACTTACCTGAATAACATGCTTCAGTTTATCAATTATCTGATTTGTCACAGGATCAGTCCCTTTGACTTTGACTTCAGGATTTCCATATTGTGCTTTAATTCCATTTCCAACCACACGCTGAGTATAGCTAACAAGGTGGAAAGTGAAAGGCACATAATTTAGTAATCTGGTCAAAGTATATTATGACATGACTATTAAAACTGATTTGAATTCCCCCCTTGAAGAGTATACACGAATGATTTCTTTTTTATTGGAACTTAACTTTATACAGTTGTAATGTTTTCCAGGTAAAATGCTTTTAGTGAAAATATAGACTATTCAGAAGGTAATGTTTTTCTCTTCAAGGAATCAACCAAAAATTACTTGTTTTTTAGTGCTATTTACCAATATGCTAGAAAGAATATGTGTCTACTTTGTTATCCTTTCTTGTTGAATTATACATGTCTGCACCCATATTATCTGGGTTAATTCACTCTATTTGTAGTATTTACATAACATTAATAATATTTTAAAATATGTACATTTGCATGCAAAAGTCAAAGGCATTATAAATTTATAGTCACCTGAAATCTGAAAAATCTTTGTAAGTAGAGAAAACATTCTGCTTTGACCAAGATTCATTTCTATCTGAAAAGGTAATTTCACCAGCAGTGAAAGTGATTTTAAGGTTCAGTACCTTCCCCAAATGATAGTCACACAATGTCAATTTAACACTTATAAAAATATTTAAATCATTTTCATAAAGCTGTATTAAATGCCTACTGCATTCAATGTGCTACTAGTTGGCAAGGGTAAAAAGAAGGTGTAATTTGTGTCCTTATAATGCTCATTACTTAACTGGGAATATGTCAATTAAATCTTTCATTTGTGGATCCATTCATTAAATTTTACTATATTTTAAGTATATCTAATAGATTCCAGTTATACAAATGTCTTGTTCCTCATCACAGTGCAGAATAAAGACAAGTGAGTAGTTAAAATGCAATGCTGTAAGAGCAACTGGAAGGAATTGTGTATGCTGTGTGAGAGATAAGAAAAACACTGGTAGCAGATACTCAGACACTTGGGGAAAAACTACAGAAGTTAAAACTTAGGTAGCTCTGTGAATATTAAGGAAGGAATAGGTTTTCCCTATGGTCAGATGACTCTAGAGCAAAGATTACTTCTATGCAGGGAAGAGAGAAAGAGAATGATAGAGAACAAATAATATTGAAATACATTGCATCTTTGCAGGAAGATGACATAGTGAGATTCGCTAAAGCTGTTGAATAGCAGGAGGATGGGGGAGAAGGAAAGAAAGTAATATATGGTATTAATCTGATCAAAATATACTATGGGCATGTGTAAATGCCATGACAAAAACCTTTTGAGTGATTAGTGTCACTAAGAACAGTAAGTACAGGATATAAACAATGTGGGTAACAGTCGAACTGCGGCGGGGGCGGGGGATGAAACAAGAGGGTAAAAGAAGGTGATATACTCAATGTATTTTGTATACTTGTATGAAAACAGAAAATAACCCTGACGTTGTTTTAGAAGGGCTAAGAGGATGAAAGGCAATGATGGACGGGGTGAATCTAATCAAGATACATTGTACTCACATTTGAAAGTGTCATAACGAAACACCCTGCGTAACTAATATATGCTAATTAAAACTTTTTAAAAAATTACTCACAACTCCCCGCAAAACTTTGGTAGCCCTGAGAGTGTTAAGGTAGGAATAGGTTTTCTATGGTGTGGTTAGTGGAACTAGAGCAAAGACAACAGCGCAGCAGGGGAAATGGATAGGCGCATGCAGAAACACAGGGAAAAATAAGTAGGCTTGTGTCTAAGTGGTGGGGCTACAAATGGGTAAGTGTCCATCTTCTGGGTGTAAGACTCTCCTCTTAGCACTTTGTTTCCTTACATTATGTATGATAATATCATAGCCTCAGAGACATATCAACAAAATGTTCACATTGTATCAATGTAAGTTTCCTTCCCTCTATTCGAGCAGAGTATCTAACTTCATATGTACCTCTGAATTTCCTATAGTAATGGTACATGTTTGAAAAGTAAAAGGATGTTCAACTGTCAATAAGGTTAGATCAAGAAGAATTAACCTAGAAGGTAACACACATGCACAGGAAATCAATGTGTGTCAACTCCCTGTATAGTTATCCTTATCTCAACCAGCAAAAACCCTTGTTCCTTCCTATTATTGCTTATACTCTCTCTTCAACAAAATTAGAGATAAGGGCAAAATAGTTTCTTCTGGGTATAGAGGGGGGGGGGAGAGGGAGGGGCAAGGTGGGTGGTAAGGGAGGGGGTGGGGTGGGGGGGGGGGGAGAAATGACCCACACATTGTCTTAAACCTTCTGTATGCTTGCTATATCATTAGTCACTCTCCTTCATTTATGCACGATTAGTGGTGATGACAAATAACAAGTAAATAAATGGATAAATGCATAACTGTGGTTTGGGCATTGCTTTAGTTACTCAACTTGGAGTTTGCTGCTTCATCTTCGTAACTATCCACAGTGACCGTGAGTATGTGATTTATAGATCTCAAAGAAGCTTAATTGACTAAGGTTACCTGCTCTTCACTCTAAAATCTATTTCCACATCTGTCCTCTTTCCTCCAGAAAACTGAGTGTGACAGTGTAGCAAAGGAAAGTTCAACATTGGGAAACATAAGTCTTATCAAATTGCTAACTTTGGCTCAGGAATCCCTGAGACCCTTGCTAAACTTTCCTTAGTCTGAATTATGCTAAGTGCTTCCACTCAACCTTCCTTTCCTCTTTTCCTCACTCTGGTTCATAGCCAGACATCTTGCTCCATAGCCAACATCTCTTGCAGCCTTTCTCTTCATTTTTCTCTCACAGGGATTTCTCTTAATAAAATCAACATGTTCTTATTCAGCCTAACATATCACATAATATTTATATTGTAATTATACTCATTGTCCAGATATTTGAGTAGGTTAAGTAACTTTCTGAAGGCCACACTATTTGAGAAGTGAAGAGCAAGGATTTGAATTCAGGGGATATGAGCTCCAAAATAAACACTCAATAATTATTAAGCAAAATTCCTGAAATCAATAAATACACTTTAGAGATCTATTTAGAGCCATTATTTGCAGACAAATGGATAGGAATGGAAAGCAACATCTTAAGTGAAGTTACCCAGGTTTGGAAGGCCAAAAGCCTTGTGTTTTCTCTCATATGTGGAATATAGACCTAATACAAATACAGCAAGATTATGAAAAACAGGCTACAATAAGAAGAGGTTACATATGAGGGAAGGATAAAAAAAGGAAGTTAAGAAGGTGAATATGGTTGATGTACTTGTATATGAGAATGAATATAGAATTTTTAAACCCGTTGAAATCACCGTAAGAATGGGACTAAGGTAGAAAGAACAAAAATAGAGGAGATGAAACAACTTAGGCTATAATACATATATACATGGAAATGTCACAAGGAAACTCCCTATCTTAAACAAACAAAAATGTAATTTCCTTTTTCTTTCACAAAATCAGAGAATAGGTCCTATCTGGAGCACTGGCACCAGTGGGAGGGGGAGGATGTGGAGACAGGCTGGAGGATATATGGTGCAAATACTGTGTACACATGTATGTAAATGGAAAAATGATACTTGTTGAAACTACTGCAGGAATGGGGAAAGGGAAGATAAAGAAGAATGATGGGGGGAGTGAATTCAAATGTAATATATTTGATATATTGTAAGTATACCTCTTCCCAGAACAATAATAAAAATATTTTCAAATTGTATAATTCATTAAAAACAATTATTCATTTATAGTTTTGTAAGGTGAAGAAGTGAATAATGCAATAATGTCAGATACACAGCTAAATGGTTTAAATGAAAAAGACAGATGATATCAAGTATCGGCAAGCATGTGAAGTGATTGGAACTTTTTCCTACTGTAGATGGGAATTAAACTGGTGGAAACCATTGTGGGACAAAGGTAAATATGTACTATGACCCTCTGACATTTAACCAGCAAAGTTTACCAAAGGGCAATCACAATGATGCTCAGAGGAGCATTATTCAAAATAGCCCTAACCTGGATATAACCCAAGTATTCATAAACATTAGTGTGGACAAATGAATGGAGTATATTTACATAACAAAACACTGTACAGCAAAGAAAATGAATTACAAGTGTACTCAGAAAAATTGACAAATCCTATAAATTAATATAAAGGAAGATACAGAATATACTCTGATTTATTTATTAAAACTTGAAAAGCTAGTCAATCATGGAAGAAAATACCATAAGTGCTATCCTCTGGCACAGTGTCTAGAAAAAGGAACAATATCACGCCTCTTGATTTGGGTCTTGGTTAAACAAGGGAGCATATTTTTGCTTTAAAAAAAGTATTGAACTGTCAGTTAAGATTTGGGCATTTTACTACATGTATGTATTTTCAGTCTTAATATGGTATTTACATTGAAAAGTACATGCACTATTTTTTTATTATATTTAGAGAAGTCAAATTCTTATTAAGCCAAATATAAATAAAAGACCCACTCACTTAGGCATTTTTAACATGGGAAAAATGATTCTGTCATCACTAAATGAGTAATTAGAACCTTACTTTGTTATAAAAACCTGCACCCTGCAGCCTTTAATTTGCATGCAAAATATGGCTTCTAAGTTAAGTAAATTCATTGTAACAAATACTTTTTGAGTTTCATTATGGAATTTTAATAGATCATTAATTGTTCTCTTTCTTTCTAGATGTATATGTAATGAAAAAGTTTTCAAAGATCCCTATAAAATTTTCTTGGCTTGAAAAATTGTTCACAGTTCAATTAGAGGGAGAAAACAAAACACAAAAAAGAGAGAGGCAAACTTTTGTGAAAAGAGACGAGTAATAGACCTACCATCTGTGCATCTTTTAGCAGGTCTGGTAATGGAGGACAGAATCTGATAGGAATACTCACACCTAAGTACACCTTGTTTTCCATTAGCAAGAACAGTAATCAAGCACTGATATATTTACATTCTACAAAAATGTTTTATAATTATGACTAACAAGATTTCACTTCTCTCAATGTTAAATATCAAATATTAAATGAAGTGCTGATACACCTATGTATAATATTTAACTAGGAAGC